AAAATATTTTGAAATTAATTGTTGGGTATTAGTTTATTTTACCCACTCATAAGAAAAATAAATTTTTAGAAAGTTGGTTTCTTTAAAAAAAGTGTCTTTGTCTTTTTGGGTTTGAGTGATTGAGTATTATGGAACAGTGAGGAAGTAATTTTAGTGTGAGTAGAACGCCATTTTCAGGAAACACCCATTTGTGTTGATTTCTAATAGTAATTTCATTACAAAAAGTAGGATGAATGGTACTTGATATTAACAAAATATGTACCGGTATGTCGAAAAGAACTCAACCACTAATTTTGTTTTTCATACTTTATTTTTATGTTAGTTTGCTAGTACCCTTTGTGAAAATTTAGAGGCTTCACATTGTCAATTTCTTGGCTTTGTGTCAATTAATAATGTCACATCTTTTTTACCTACATTTTGAATGACAATTTTTGGTAACGCATTTCAAAGTTAACTCGATCTTAAACATTTTTAAGTAGTTACTGATGTATAGTGTGTTGCTGTTTGCCTTAATTCCTAAATTAGGATATGAAACTTTTACCTGTTAATGCTAATTTCAAATTCAGTGTTAGTGGAAACTTGTAAATCTAGATTTTGGCATTTATTCATATTTGTTGAATCGTAAAAATCAGGGTATAGAATGTTTTCTTATGTACCAACAATGGTTTTCAATGCCCAGTTCTTTTTTCCTACTTAAAAAAAAAACATCATTTTTTTATCGTTTTAAATTTAACCCACGCGTTCAGCCTTACTACTATTTTACAATATGCCATATGTACTGAACTGAAAAGCTGGAAGAGCAGGATACAATCTCATAGAGAGATTTTAAGGAGCCTTGTATTGGTGCCAGTAAGAATGAAAGTTTTTCTTTCTGAATCTGGATATGTTTTCATGTTGTGATTTTGTAGGCTTATTGCTCGAATGTTCCTCTAGACATGATGCAGATAATATCCACATCGTGCACCTATCATAGACAATAAGAATGTGTGGCTCATTTCACTGTGATGGAGCGTCTGTGTTTACTGAGCAATAAATGTTCTAAAAGTTCACTAAACTGTTCCGTTATTTTATATCCTTAATACAATATATATGAAACATCACGGTAAACGACATTTTGCCTACCTACTGGGGGTCGGGGGAGTGACGCAGTTGTGCGCAGGTAGCGTGTAGCGTGCTCTCTAGCAAGTCTCCAGCCTTCTGCTGCGGGGGGATTGTGAAAAACGGAAGGGTTTGGCAGTTTTTAGCCCGCCCTTCTGCTTTGAAAAAGCTACCCAGCGGGCTAATGCAAACGACCTCGTGTCTGTCTGTGTGTCTGTCTGTCTGTCTGTGTGTCTGTGTGTCTGTCTGTCTGTTCCACAAGAAGGAGATGTGCTAGAGACTTCAAATTTTCAGGGGATCTTAAGGTTCACTCCTAGAAAACGAAACGCCTACGGCAAATCCTGGCAACCACCCCTAAACGGCTAAAAGGGGGTATCAAAGAAAATGGAGTAGGTCAAAAAAGTCGGAAAAAAGTATTTTTTTATGATCTCCTATGGGGTAACTCGTCAAAGTAGAGCCCCTCTATCTCTAACCGTTTAGGCGCTAGAGGGTCTTTTTTGACGAAAATAAGCTAAAAATTGCCATAGTGAGCAATAAGTTGTAGACAAAGGCCTAAAAACCGCAAAATAGGAAAGAAACTCTCCCCCCACCCCAAAAATCATTTTCTAAGCAGAAGGGTGGGTTGGAGTCGCGGTGCTTCACCGTTACATCCCTTCTCGACTACATCATTCGATCATGTTCTTCAGCAAATCGTATGACAGAAATGGTCGGGCCGCAGGCCCGACCATCGCCGCCGGCAGGCCAAGCAGGCCCGGCCCCTGCCGAACGGAGTTGCCGGCGGAGCGAAGCGGAGCTGGCAACTTCGTTTGGCGGAAGGGCGGGCCTGGTCGTTGGTTTGGTCTTACGTCTAAAGTTGTGGCTTATTTTCATGCTATCTCCGTATGACGGTTCACGCCCTCGGCTAGGCCGCCGTACCGCAGCAACACAGCGTCCCGGCATTTCACTGGCACAAATATGGAGAAGGACTTCTCCATGACCGGCACGACGACGACTCTAGGAGGGTCGTGGGGAGGAGGGAGGGGGTGGCAACACGACTGTCTCCGGCAGTCCGTGTCCACGTCCACGAACTGTTTTGAGTAAGTTTTAAAGTACTTTGTTTGGGTACAGCCACCATCATTAGCCTGAGTTCCAGCTAGAATTTCTATGAGTTCTATGAGTTTCCACATAAATGGACTTGTACACACCCCTTGCGCAAGGGCCCCCCACCCCCGCCCCATTTATCCTCACGGTCTTACTTCCACGCCTGCGGGTGAGGATTCGATTACATATTCTATTCGAGAGGAGCGAATTGGGAAAGAAAATATATGTCCATTGGGAGAGAGTCCGCTTCTGGATCATCCAGAATGTACGTCCGTCAATCGCCGTTACGAACATTGCCAAGGTCAGCCGATGCAAGGTTCCATAGCGCCTGATCAGTAGGCAACATCCAGCCTTCAGTGCAGGCGTGTACTGCAGGGTGGCCTACCCTGTGCCTCGCAGGCGCGGATCTCCCGTATTTTGCCGAATGAATCTAAAATAACGGACGTACTTTCTGGACGATCCCTTCTCCGACCCTAGAAATATTCCTCTCACCCCCACCCCCTTCCTCGCTCCACGACGGGCCGGCGAGGGTCGGTCGGTGAGTATGTGACCTTTAGTTGTCTGTTGTGTACGAGGTCCGCAAGGACGCGCCTGAAGGTTGTCGGAGTCGTACGCATGTTTGTGTTCTGTTCGGTCATTGAAATTGCTCGATCTCTCTTAGGATTTTGTTTTCGACACGCCTGTAGGCCTCCGGTATGAGAGGAGGGCGCGGCGGGGTGAAGGTCTACCCTGAACTCCCCCTCCCTTCCCCCCACGCTCTTCTTCCCCACGCGCCCCATTTCATCATTTCGTCCCCGCCTCATAACCTTTCCATTTCACATCGCGAGATGTATGCCGCTCGCGTTGGCGACGGACTTTGATGCATGGCACGGGATTTGGCTTTGCCAGTGGCGCGCCGTTGAAATAATACGGAGTGAAAAATGTATTCCCCGCCCCTTCGCTCCGCGACGGGACGACGAAATTGCGCCACTCGGTCGACTTCAGTCACCTGCTGGGGACGCGACCACCTCCACCTGTAACGCCCTCCCTGCCTTGCCCCCCCCCTCCCCCTTT